GACTTAGTTTTCCCTTCCTGCCGAACCGTAACACTTTCTTCCACGGTGAGACTTTCAGAAACACCTTGTCATCAACATTGTATTCGATCTCCCGACGTTTTAAATCGGCATAAGATTTTTGTCGATCAGAAGCTACTTGCAGTCGTTCTCTAATTAGACGAACCTTTTCTTCAGTTTCGCGGACGAGATCAGGTCCTTCAAGCTTTTGCTCACTTAATTCTGTCCAGCATACCGGGGTTCTACAACGTCTCCCATACAAGGCTTCGTACGGGGCCATTTGGATACTCGCTTGATAACTATTGTTATAAGCAAATTCCATTAGTGGTAAGTATTGTTCCCAGTTGCTTCCAAAATCTATTACACATGCCCTCATCATATCTTCCAGAATTTGAATTGTTCTTTCAGATTGTCCGTCAGTTTGAGGATGAAATGCCGTACTAAAGTTAAGTTTAGTACCTAAGGTTTTCTGTAAACTCTTCTAGAATTGTGACGTGAATCGCGGGTCACGATCAGAAATGATTGAAAAAGGTATACCATGTAGTCTTACGATCTCACGGATGTACAATTCTGCCAATTTCTTCAAAGACATATCACGTCGAATTGGGATAAAATGAGATGACTTGGTTAATCGATCAACAATTACCCAGACAGCGTCATTTTTCTTAGCAGATAATGGAAGTCCGATCACAAAGTCCATCGTAATTCGTTCCCACTTCCATTCAGGGATAGTAGGTGGATGTAACAACCCACTAGGCACTTGGTGTTCAGCCTTGACTTGTTGACATGTCAGACATCGGGTTGTAAATTCAGAAATTTCCCGCTTCATTGTGGGCCACCAATATGTCTTCTTCAGATCTTGGAACATTTTATTACTACCAGGATGCATGGTATAAGTGGTTTCGTGAGATTCACGCATTAAACGTTCCCTCACTTCGCCACTAGGAACTACCAAACGATTCTTGTAGAATAAAATTCCATTATTTACAGTGAAATCTTGTCTCTCCCCCTTAGAGACAAGTTCACAAGTCTTCAAACAGTATCATCTTTCGGCTTAGTGCGTCAGCTACTACGTTAGCCTTACCAGGGTGATAGTCGATGTAACAGTCGTAGTCTTTGATCAATTCCAACCATCTTCTCTGTCTCAAGTTTAATTCTTTTTGAGTTAGTAGATATTTCAGACTTTTGTGGTCTGTGTGAATATATGTCGTCTCCCCAAAGAGATAATGACGCCATATTTTCAGAGCAAATACAACTGCTGCTAACCCAAGATCGTGAGTAGGATAGTTACATTCGTGAGGCTTCAACTGTCTTGATGCGTATGCCACGACTTTTCCGTCTTGCATGAGTACACATCCCAAGCCATTATGGGATGCGTCACTAAAGATCGTGTAGTCTACACCTGGTACTGGTTGTGTGAGTACAGGTGCTTCTGTCAGACATTTCTTTAGTTTCTCAAAGCTTTGCTGACAAGCATCAGTCTATACGAATTTCACATCTTTTCTTAGAAGTTTGTTAAGTGGAGTTGCGATCGAGGAAAAGCCTTCAACAAATCGTCGATAGTATCCAGCTAATCCTAGAAAGCTTCTTACTTCACGAACATTCCTTGGAACCTTCCACTCGGTGATGGCAGATATTTTGCTAGGGTCCACTTTAACACCTTCTTTCGAAATCACATGACCAAGGAACGCGACTTCATGAAGCCAAAATTCACACTTGGATAACTTTGCATAATGTTTGTTCTCTCGTAGTGCACTGAGTACTATCTCCAGATGTTTTGCATGGTCCTCTCGATTCTTCGAATATACAAGAATGTCGTCGATGAACACAACTACGAATTGATCAAGATAAGGTCGGAATACACTATTCATGAGATCCATGAATACTGCCGGAGCATTGGTCAAACCAAAGGGCATTACCGTAAACTCGTAATGACCATAACGAGTACGGAACGCAGTCTTTGGGATGTCCTCTTTCTTTACAGGGATTTGATGGTATCCTGACCGTAAGTCAATCTTAGAGAATACAGTAGACCCTCTAAGCTGATCAAATAAGTCATCGATACGAGGTAAAGGATATCGATTTTTGATTGTGACTTTGTTCAATT